GTTTGAGGAGCAGAGAAGTAGGCCGCACCCCTTCACAGAATCTGTGTCCATTTTAAAACCACATCACCCTCCATCAACACTCACACACACTTACATTTTCTTGGCGCCATCACCCCATCCTTAAATGTCCCATTACCTGCCTGGGGCCCGGACCCTGTACTAGACAGAGACGACCGTCCTGAGCCCTCTTAGTCCACGTACAGCCCCAGCCTGTAGCACGTGCCAGGCACACCACGGTCCGCAGTCGCTGCTGATTCACTTTTTTTTACAAAGACTCTTGACGGCTCCCTCTGTGCCAGGCGCCGCGCTTGTACGGGGGATGCACGGCGACCAGACAGGTCCCTGCAGCCACGGAGCGGGTCGTGCGCTGTGTGACGGCGGGGCAGGCGCGGTGCCCGGGCAGAAGATGAAGCAGACGCAGCACCGGGGGACTCAAGTCAGCGTGTGCGACGAGGGCAACAGAATCAGAGGGTCTGACAGGGCTGCCCACCGCTCACTTCGATTGCACGGTCAGGGAACGGGAGGTGACGCTTTGGCTGTGAGTGGGCCGGGCAGCCCTGGGGAAGAGCGTCCCGAGCACAGGGAACAGGAAGCGTCAGCTCCTTGACTGGGGTGCGGGAGGGGCCGTGGGCAGAGCTCGGGAAACCAGGGACAGCAAGTGGAGCTGCGGCTCCAGAACCCAGGAAGCCCGGGGCAGGGCTGTCTCCGCCCAGGGCCCAGGGCTGAGCCCCCACTGAGCGAGCAAGGCTGACAGCTCCCCTCCAAGAGGGAGGAGCTCACGTTGCCCGCCCGTGCCAGAGGGCAGCCCAGCAGGAGGGTGACACCTGCCCGTTTGCCCAAGCCCGGAGGGCTCCTGGGGATCGAGGCTTCAGGGCTACAACAAAGAGGTCCCTGGTAAACTGGGACATGCTGGTCCCCCTGAGGGGCAGGGCACTGTTTGGATGCAGAGGGGGCGCTGCCTGACCACGAGGACACCCAAAGATTCCAGGAGACATTTCTGGCAATTGCTTCCAGGAGATTTTCCAGGTCTGTGGGGATGTGTGTGAAGGCCCCTCTCCCCTCCTCCTCCCGCTCCCCAGACGCGGCACTAAGGCCAAGCTCCCGCAAACCCGCCTTCCTTGAGCAGTGAACCCCTGCATATCCCTGGGCTCCTGCCTCGGGGTGTTGGCTCCAGCAGGCCCCTCTCCTCTGCAGCCTGCCCGCTTCTGCTCCTGCCTCTCCACAGCCCACCTGGGATCCTTTCACACCTTCCTGCATCCTCCCTCCCTGCCCTGTTGGGAACTAAATAGTCTCTCCCAACAGTGCCCTTGTTTCCCCAGGTCTGGCGCTCCAGACGCCTCTTCATCAGAATGATCTTCACAGGACGGTGAGCAGCAACAGGCACTGGTCCAGTTTTCAAACCCGTGTGTCACTCATGGGAATCTTCAGGCTCAGCCCTGCGGGGCGGGTGTGATCCTTAATCCTGTTGTACAGCGGAAGCCACCGAGGCTTTAGGCCACTGGCCCTTTCGAAATCCCGCCGGGCAACTAGCAGGTCAGCGCTCGAGCTAGACTCACGAGCCTGGCGGTGGTCTCTGTCCTTTCAGCACTCGGCCTGGCGGTGAGGACGGCCCTGTGTGCCTCCGGTGTGTCCACCACGGGGCTGGACACAGGGCAGGAGTGTTCTGCCGACGGCTGCCAGGGGAGGAGAGTGTGCAGGCACGTCCAGTGAGCGAAAGGCCAGGGCAGTCGCGCCTGGGCCTGCGTGTCAGAAGGACGGCCAGCACGGACACCCCTGCAGACGCCTGCAGACGCCGGCCTGGAGCTCCACGGGGCGGAGCTGGCCGTCTGTTGCTCACGCTGACTTCCTGGTCCCGGCACAGTGCCCAGCACCCGGTGAGCCCAGCACTCCCGAAGGATGACGGGGGCTTCACGGCAGGGAAGCCCCGCCCGGGGGCAGGCTCATTCCTCAGGCCTCTCCTCCAGAGCAGAGCAGCTGCGGCTGCTCATGGGCCGGCTCATGGGCCCTGACTTGTGTGCAGGGTTCTGGGCTGGGCTCAGCAAGGAGCAAGAGAATGTGATTTACATTCTCTGCCACCATCTGCTTGCCCGGGCATAGCACGGCATGGCTGTGGTGTGTCCTTGGCCCTCGCTGCCCAATGTCCACATCCTCAACCTAGGGTTATTCCCCCCACATGGATTTTCCTTTGGGAAGCCATCATTCCCTTAACCTCACAGCTCCCACCCCCAAGCATGGGCCCTTGGCCGAGGCCTGGCCAACCAGCTCAGGTCATCCTATCATAGGCCTCTGTGATTGGCCAGAGGATGGGCATGTGACCCAGGGTGTCCGCAGAAGGTGAGCCCAGGATTTTGGTTTAACTGTTGGGAAAGAAATGGGAAAGAAAAGCTCTCTTTGTAGGCGACTGCTAGCAGTGAGATTATGGCCTTGGAGCTTGGAGCCACACGGGCTGAGCCAGCCTAAGAAAATTCAACCAAGAAGAAACCAGAAGAGAGTCAGAAAGGGGAATGCGATCCTGTCATCACAGAAGGCCTGCCACGGGGATATCCTCATACACAAGCCAAAAATCTAGCATCACTCCCTTACACTTTACATCCCTGAGGCCACTCCAGGGTGAGTTTCTGCTCCCGGAACTGAGTGCTGCCTTAATAGCACCACACCCGCTCCCTTGTCTCTCGGGAGCCCAGGTCCAAGTTCAACACGGGGCCTCTGTCCGCTCACGTCGGCCTCCCCCGCAGGCCTCCACTCCTCAAAGCCCCCAGCCTGACTTCAGGCCCTTGTGGGTGGTCTGGGGCCTCAATTATCAAGAGTCCCCAAATAGATGCCAGCCTGGCAGGTCACCCCCAACCCCTCCTCCACATCATCAGGAAAGTTGATCTTTTGAAGCAGATGAGGCAGGATGGCATCTCTGTCCTGCCTAAAGCCAGCGTGGGCTCATGGCTGCCCACAGTCGAGTTTCCCAAAGGATAGGCCCATGTCCCTGCCGCTGAGTGAGCTGGCTTTCGATGGCACACGGAGCCAGCACACACACACATTGAAACAGAACAAGAAACAGAGCAAGAAACTTAACCCCCCTTTGACTCACTTACAAACCTTCCGATTGCTTTATAGACGCGGCCCTGGTACCTCCCCAGCCTGTGCTTCTCTCCATTTTTAACGAGAGAAAGTCTTGAGCTCGCAACCTCCCGCAGCGGGCTGGCACTTCCAGGCAGATTTGTTCTCACTGTATTTATTTTTATGGCCCTCCTCTATTTTGGCAAGTAGCTATATCAAGTTTTCTTTAAAGTCATTATACCAAGTATCCTTTGGAAATTAATTTATATATAAACACAAAAGTGAATCTATTCAAAGAAAAGAGTAACGGGGGATTTGGGTACGGTGGACATTTGGCAAACAGGGTTCACATCCAAGTCATGGCATATGCTCAGCCAGACGCATGAGGCCCTTCGCAGTCCACCCCTTGACCACTGCCTTCTCTCACTGGAGGGCTTGAGACTCCCGGACGAGCCCACCTCCACGCCTTTGCCCATGCTTCCTCCCGCCTGGATGCCTTTCCCCACAACCTCCTGATCAACCTTGAACAATCCCATTTTAAGACCCGGATCAAAGTCACGGCTGTAGTTCAGCCGCCTGCTGAGGGCTTTGCGTGCACCTGAACAATTCTGTGCTCTCTCAGGCCACGGCTTACAAGGAGGCCACCCCTGTGAGGCTGAGAGAGACCAGAAGACCAGAATGTTCTTTCATCTCTGTGCTACAGCAAGCTCAGTTAGCACAGGATGAGTTGAAGGGACTCTACCAGAGGCCAGCACACCTGACGAAGGCACTAACCTGGAGCACAAGCAATGGGGGAAGAACTCTAAGGGAAGGAGTGGGTGCCTGAGACCAGGCCACGCTGCCCAGCTTTCAAGAGCGAGAAGGAAGGGGAACATTCTGGGAGAGAAGGATCCTGCAGTGGCCCCAAAGCAGGGCGCTGGACAGGTGGAGGTTCTCGACTTTAACTTGTGGAGAAATCACCTCAGAATTTGACACAATGACAATTCCTCAGTCCCACCCCAGAGACGCGGTAGGTGGGTGTGAAGTTGGCAGTGAAGCCGCACTGTGAAATCAATCCTCAGGAGCTGCTGAGGGTCACACTTGGAGAAATTCGGCCACAGGTGTCAGGCAAGGAGGGAGAACGGCAGAGGCCTGGCAGACAGGCAAAAAGGCGCACCCACAGCCCCGGATCCCCCAGAACACCACGTAACCCCCTGCACCCGAGAGCCCGGAGACAGCCCAGCACAGAAGACAGCTTGTCAAGGTTATTTAAAACATCCCAAATAGTTCCCTAGAGACGTGTTCACGAGGTCGGCTCACACGTGATGTCAGGTGTAGCTGAAACGAGCGATCAATCCAAAATCTAGCTCTCTGCTCAAAGGCCTTATCCGCTAGCGAGCAGGGGACTTACCCCAACCGCGGCCTTCTCGGGCTGAAGCATCCCTCAGTCTGAATGACCAGCAGCCAAATCATTCACAGAGGAAAGCAAGGCGAACGAGTCAAAGGGGGGTTTAGCAGAATTTGCGGCCCAAGACACCCCTTAACTTAATGCCCAGAGCCTCCACTTCTGGAAGTCTGGAAGTGGATGGAATACGAATTGGCTCCTTCAACGTGAATTAAAGTTGAAAAATGAAGCTGGGCACGCGGGTGGGGCATTTGAGACCCGTGCCCGCCAGCTGGCCCCCTTTAAAGGTCTGGCCCTCGGCACACGCCAGGCCGAGCCGCTCATCAGATGGAGACTGACTTTTATCTGATTAACCCGTGGAGAAACATCCTTCTCCCTCTCCCAGGCACGCTCTGTGGGAAGGCGTGCTGCGGGCTGCGGAGGGAAGTTGGGCCCTGGCTTCCCTCCTGCTCGGCCAGTGGAAAATTACAAGGGAACCAAGCCTGCCCTCTGCTACGCTCCTAGGTTGTTCCCGGCCCCCCAAACACAGGCAAACCCGGACACGAGCAGAGCGATCTTTACTTACCTGGCGGGGAGAGGAGTCGGGGTGGGGGCGGGGGTGGGGGTGGCGGTGGCAGCGGGGGAGGGGGCCGGCACTGGCAGATGTGTTGGCAGCTGTCGGTCACCTTGGAGCAGGACTTCTGGGGCTCGCCGTGTGTCACCTACACAAACGGGCACGCGAGCCCAAGAGAAGACCATCAGGCAACTGGGAGCAGAAAGGGCCACCCCCCCGGCTCACCAGGCTGGGTCCTGCCCTGGGCCAGCGCAGGAAGAGAAGGCAGAGGTCAGGTGGGCAAGGCGGGAGGCTGGCAGGCCTGGTGACCTAGGTTGGATTTCCGGCCCTGCCAGGGACCCTGTACGTCAAAGGTGGTGGCTTGGATGTTAACACACGGGTAGGTAAGCGCTTGCAGGTGAACTACTTCATCCTCCCCACCGTGCAAAGGAGGGGACGGAGGCCCAGGTACCGCTGGTGACAGGACCTGGTTTTACCTCCTCTGCAACCTCCCGGCTGGGGTGGCTCCAGCTTTCCTGGCTATGCTGCAAGGCCAAGGCCTTGCCTTTCCTTGGGCCCCAGTCCTGATGGCCTTGCTGTGTCCACCCCGGGCCAAGTCTCCCCATCTCAGGGGGTGGAACCTCACCCAGTCAGACTCTGCTCTGGCGTCCCAAGGACAAGGAGAGCAGAGCAACAGCCAGCATCATCCAGGAGGCACCAGGATGGTCTTGAGGAAAGCACACAAACACATCCCCCGTGTCTGCCCACAAGCTTGGGGGATCCCGTGGCCACACCCTGCGAGGGAGACCCCGATAACGTCTCCAGCCCCACCACCTCCTCCTGCGTGTGCTCACTTTCCACTCTGCCCTCAAGGCCCTTCTTCCAGCCCCTGTACCCTGGCCATGCTCCTCCCGGGAGCGCGCTGCTCTGCCGGCCCAGAACAGAATGTCCTCCCACATCTTCCCCTTGCTTTGCCCCGATGAAGCCTAGAAGGGAAGCATCTCTGACCTTCCGAACCAGGTCGGATCTTCTTTTCATAAGCTCTCCTAGCACCAGGTTCCATTCTGTGGGACTCAACTCTGCATATGGGTCACTACCTGGCCATACCCTCTTCACCCCTGGATCATAAGCTCTTCAGGGGCCTGGCATTCAGTGTCTGGCGAATAAATGAATGCATATGAAAAGCTGAACCAGAGTTCAGGCCTCCTGGGTGTGGTTTGGGGCTGTTTCCAGAGTCTGTTTCCTCCCCTGTAAGGGCGGGGGGCAGCAGGGGTGAGCCCCAACCCCGTCCACACGTCAGTCTCTCAGAGCTTTAAGAACCACACATGCCTGCGCCTCACTCTTGCGCCTGAATCAGAAATTCTGCAAGGGGAGGGGGGCATGGGTGCCCCGTTTACCCTTCCTGGGCTAAACTTCTGCGTCTAACAAGTGAGAACCACAGTTCGACAGATGCCGGCATCCTGCCCCACGCACGGAGCTCAGCCTACAGACCAGGCGCGTGTGCCCGTCCCAGAGCAGCCGAGTCAAGGCACGAAGGCAAGAGCTGGTGACCTCAGTTAATTTCTCTGCTGTCATCTCGAGAGGAGCAGTCCTGAACCCAAATTCCTGCCACTGGCCACGGGGCTAAGGCAGGCCCACCTGCTGCAGGTGTCCTGGGCCGGCAGAGAGGCCCCGGCCCGGGAGCTCCCTCCCCACCGGTGAACAGGCCGGGTAATGGCGCCCGACGGCAGCGGGAGGTGGATTGATTACAGCTTTGCCTCGATAACCATGAGGTCAAAAAGCTTCTGCACACACTTTTTTTTTTTTCTTAGCGCTTTTAAAGAACCATTGCCTGCGTTTCAAACTCTGCAAGGCTGTCTAATCTCCCAGTGGGAAGAAAACATCCTCAGACTTTGAGCCTTTTCTCAGTTATGTCAAGGAGATGATTAAGTCCTTGCACGGCCATGGCAAATCTGCTGGCTTCTCCACCAGCGCCGCTGCCTGCTCGCCCATCCTCGAGCCGGTGCTCTGGCCTCTGAGCCCCTAACATGGGGGGTGGGGGGGTGCTCAAAAGCTCCATTCTCTTGACGGCTGGCCTCTGAGGTCGCGCTCCACTGAACTCACCAAACGGCTCACCAAATGGGTAACCTTCCAGCAATGCCATTGCCAAAGCAATCACCTTCACACTCTCCAAGGCACAGTTTATGCGCGAGCTCAGGAGGCGCAGGCTTGCTTCACCTGGCCCAACACAATGACCTATTTTTGCGAGCGGTAGCAGGGCACAGATGTATGAGTGTTTAATGTGATGAAATTTTGGGCGGGGATGTCAGGGCCAAGTTTCAAGGCTGAAGCGGGAGGAAAGGAAGGAACCGTCTGCATTTTAATCATCCGTGGTCTCTTGGGTAACGGCCTTGCTGAAATGCGAGTGGGCACCACTTTGGCCACGGTTATCGCAGAAGTACCCCGTCTACGCTGTTGCCAACCTGTGTTCCCCCTTCGAAGCCAGCTCTCACGCCTGCTTCTTGGCAAGCCATCTTCCCCCTGACCCCCTGAATTCGACCCCCTCCCCTGCCCAGAGCTGCTTCTTCGCCTTGTCAACTTTCTGGCACTTTCTCTGCTGTTTTGGAAGGTCTGTCCCTACGCATTAAGTCTTGGGGCAGGCAGTTTTATTCATCTGTGCTTTATTAATTCTGACCAAGTGTGACTTCCTGAGGTCTGCTGTGTGTCACCCAGGGAAACGTGGTGCCGCTTCGCCACAAGGACTGGGAGAGGTTTTTATCATCCACGCACAGGGGAGCTCCCTGGTGGCGCAAGGGTTAAGACGCACCTATGAAGCTGTCCGCAGAGTTTGATTTCAGGCCAGCCATGGAGCAACCCTCATGGCGCAGCAGACCTCTCCTGTCTCCCCGCTGCTCCCCTCAGCAGTGTCTTTCACTCGATCTGCCTGTTCTGTTCCCCGCTCTGTCTCTGGTGAATCCTCTCACCCCCGCACCTCTGGCCTGTACCCCAGCTCTTGTATCATAAATAAATAAATCTTTAAAAAAAAATCATCCACACTCAGGCTGAGCCGGTGCCAGTGGGCACCGTGGAGCTAAGTCAAGTCGCAAAGTTACTCAGGGACAGACTGAATGAAAAGGCGTGTGCAGGAGGATCTGTCCCCCCCCCGCCCCCCCCCCCCCGCCACTCTGGTCCACTCAGGTTCTGAGGATTGGCGGTGGGGTGAACAGCAGAGAGGAAACCTCAGTGCCAGGTGCTTATCACAGCAGCTGGCCCGTTTGGTTTCTGTCCCAGGCCACTGAGAAGGAGAAAACACCCGAGTCTGAAGTTCCCTGTCCTTAGCTGGACTAAACTGACAAGGAGCAGAGGATCAGAGAGGTTAATGACTCCTTAAGAGCCCACACAGCAAAAGGCAATTTTTTATTGCATGCTTGTCCTTGTCCACCTCCCTGGCCCTGCTCTGCGGCTTTCTCCTGCAGCCAGGGAGAGAGGGTGGGCACAGGTAGGTGCTGCATTCACCTGGATTTGGTAGCTGTCACTATGAATGGAGGACATGTTGCTCCTTGGCTATCGCCTGTGCCCACAATCAGGGCAGCTTCTGGTCTGGTGGATGTTGCCTTTTAAATAGTCCTGGAATCCGTGCACATCGCCCCAGCCCCAGTGCCACTGCTGTGAACCAGGCCATTATCATATCTCGCCCAGGCAGCGCTTGCTCCCTGGGTATCGTGGCCAGATAAAATATTTAACATCCTGATACATTTTAGATAAAACAACAAAACATTTTTCATGTATAAGTATAACCCAAATGTTGCGTGGGATATACTCATGCTAAAGAATAATCACTTTTTATTTGAAATTTAGACGTGTTAAATCTGACCATCTTGTCCTCACTTTACCTCCCGCTTTGCCCCCATCCACTGTGCTGGAGTTGGACTGAGATTTTGAAATGCCCATCTGAGACTGAGGCACCTCTGGCTTCAAACTCGATGGCCCCGTTGGTCACCGGGGTCAAGTGGAAACTGCAACACATTATGTTAGTGGCTCACAGCAATGGTCTTAGCTGGGACTCCCCGGGTTCTCCCAATGCCCCACTTTCTCTTCCACCCCAGGTGTTGCCCCTGCCTGGACATGCTCCCCTGGCAGGCTGATTTCTCCTTGTAAATGTGTCAGCTGAAGCGCCACATCTTCTAGTCTTCACCAGGTCCCATCTCCAAGCCATGTGCTCTGGCTGCACACTCTTGCTTGTAATGACTCATTTAATTACCTCTCCAGTGCCATGCTGTCAATGCCATGAGGCATTGGTCCCTTAACACTTAACACGGGGCCGGGCAAACATTAGGTGCCCGATGGCGTTGCTGAATAAATAAGCAGGAGAAGGTCAGCCTCACTTGGGTCTGGGGTGGCTCCTCGCCAGCTCGCAGGCCCACAGGCCAGCATCAGAGCCCATCTCCCTGGTGATGGCTTTAGGAGGATGCCCACAAAGATGACGGCTTCTGGCATATTCTATGGAGACAGGCCAGCACCACAGTAACTTGATGAGACACACTCCTGTCACACCTAATACATTTGCCAGCCTGTCATCCCCTACGCCCGCAAAAAAAAAAAAAAAAAAAAAAAAGACAGAAAGGGAATTATCTGGAAGTGAACCCAGAAGAACCCTAAATCACAAGAGCTCAAAATCTCAATTCCAGACACATTAAAGAAAAAAGAAGAAAAAGAAAAGAGGCTAAAGAATGTCTCCATCATCCTCCTGGCAATTTAAATGTCATCTGACTTTAATGATGAAGTTTCTTATCACCCAGGCTGCAGCCCGAGGCTTGGGGCTCACTTCACGGCGGGAACCTGGTGCTGGGGGGCAAGGTGGGGGCCGTGGTCTCTTGATTCACCAGTGAACTCATAAATTACAGGACTTTGGACTATCACGCTCCCCCTTACAAATGTTTCTATTTGGGGGGCTTCTGGCGAGGTTCATGGAAGCACAGATAGCCGCGTTCACTGTCTGTAGCCCAGAAACTCCTGTGACATGACAGATTTCAATCTCTCCACTAAAGGGAAACACATGGCCTGGCGCACTTCCCTCCCCTTCTCTGCTCATTCCCCTGGACCCGACTCTCTGGATGAAACACCAGATCCAGATCCATCCACCCCACGGGTCCCTCTGCCCTGGCTTCCCCTCCCTAGCACTGGTAGATTCATTTTTCCAGAGCCTTGCGCCAAGATTTTAAGCATTCTGCTTGTCTGGAGGATTCCTTTTCTAATTGATTTTCACAAAAATTGATCTGTACTGAGCACCAGCAAGTGAAATGCAACACACACACACACACACACACTCACACACTCACTGTGTAAGAGCTGCCTGAGTGAAGGTCACTGTGAGCAAACTGAGCTGATTTCACAAAACCATTTGTTTTGATGGTGACGGGGTGTGGGCGGGGTGGGGAGCGGGTCTGCTTTTCTACCCCTAGTTCAGGCAGCAGCATCCAGCCTGGGCGGCTGACAACATCTGATTGCTCTCCCTGCGAGCTGAAAAAGTCTCGGACGAGAGAAAACCGTAAAGAAATGAAAATGAAACGAAATGAACTTAACATCTGAGGTTCAGCTCAAAGCTGAACACGGGAAGCTGGTCCCAAGCCACCCAAGTGTTTAAAAGTGACAAAATCCCGAATCCTGGGGAGGCACAGCTGAGTGTAATAACTGCTGTTTCACACATTAAACAAAGCTGTCAGTTCCGAAAAGAAAACAATTGTGAGGCAGAGGCAAGAGAAGAAGGGCCTGGTGCGGGCAGTGGGGGGTGGGCCAGGGCGACCTGCCCCCCCCCCCCCAGCAAGGTCCTGCAGGCACTGGAGGCTCCAGTTCTCTCCAGAGGCCACCAGGCCACCCTCCATGCAGGAATGAGGCGCTAATCCCAGCCCTCCCTTGGGACAGCTTGCAGACCCCAGCAGGGGAGCAAGCAAAGCAACCCCCCACCCCTGCCCCTTCTTTAGCTGCCACCACCCACTTAGGGAAGCCATCTGAATAGTCCCCGACTCTCCAAGTGCCAGAGAACACAAAGCTAAGACCCCAGAGTGCCTATCTCAATGCCCGAAGCACTTGCTAAACTTCTGACCATTGAAAAATGTCCAACAGACAACCTGGTGATGAGAGTTCCCGGCCAGCCAGACAGGGGAGCGGCCTGGCCACGACTAACATCAGTCAGGGCAGCAACACCCCCCAGTCGTGTGGTGTGGACCAGGCACTGCCTTAAAGTAAAGATATAAAACCTTTGCTTTATTTCACCAAGTGCTGAGCACAGCACAGCGAGGAACTAGAAACCCAGGCCCAGAGAGGGTAAGTGCATTGGCGCGAGATCCCCAGCTGGCGGGGGGCAGAGCTGGGCGTCCAAATTCAGAGCTGACCCCAGTGACCACCTCTTCCTTGCTCCACCGGACCATGAACCTTACACACTCCGGAAGGTACCGGGCCATTCCATTTAACCTCCCTGACCCTGACAGCAGTTCACTCCAGCTGGCCCCTGCCCTGGGGTCCAGACCACCCCAGGGGAGAAAGGATTTCATCCTCCCCAATCCTTCCAGCGCAGCTCCTTCTGAGGCCCCCCGGAGTCCCCACAGCCTGTCCCTCCTGTGCTGAAGTTCAGTTTAAGGCTAAGTCGCGCTTACTAGAGACTCCTGGGGGCCATAAACCTGTATCCTGGAGATCAGTTTTCCTTTCTAAGTTTGTAAGAACTCTGAGGGTCCCCCCACCCACGCTTCTGCGACAGAACGTGATGAGAGGGCGCTCCCTGAACCCCTTGATGTTCCAAGGCCCTGGCCTGCAGGCCTCAGCAGACCACGTCTGCAGCTTCTCTCTGGAGTTTCTTATTTTTTGGGGGGGCCAGGGTGGGGGCGAGGGGCGCGGAGGGGTGGGGGGGACTGGCATCTTTTTTCTTAAACTCTCCCCAGGACCCATCACAGAGGCGGCGCGGGAAGCCAGGTCGGGGAGGGAAGTGGCACCCCACCCCGCTCTGGACGCGTCTCCCGGCTCCCGGGCCGCCAGGCTCACCTGCACGAAGCCCCAGAGCGGGTGGAGCGCGCAGTGCAGCAGCAGCGAGCAGCCGCCGCGCAGCACCAGGTCCCGGAGGAGCATTTCGGCCCGTGGCGCCCGCTCTCGGGCGAACTGTCAGGGGAGCAAAACTCGGTCAGGCGGGCGCTGCGCCGGCACCATCGCGGGCGCCCCGCACGCGCAGCCGTGGGCCTGGGGTGGGGCCGCCCCGCACCCCGGGGCTCCCCCGCGAACCCAGCCCCTTCCCTCCGGCCAGTGCACGTGCGGACCCGTCCTGCACCCTCGGAGCAGCTGCTCCCGGACGCGCACCCTGTCCTGGTGCGCACCCCAGACCCTGCGTGCACCCCTGGGCCCCACGCACCCCCCGTACTCCTTTCACCGCGCACACCTGGCCTAGGGACCCCTCCTCGGTCAGACACCCCGACCAGCCCGTGCGCTTCTCCAGAAACAGCCGTTGCCAACTCACTCCCGCAGTGAACACACTTCAAACCCGGCGGGCGCCGCTCGCGCCGCGTGCACACCCGCCCCTCGCGCCCGCACACTCGCGGACCCGCGTGCACACCCGCCCCTCGCGCCCGCACACTCGCGGACGCGGGTGCACACCCGCCCCTCGCGCCTGCACACTCGCGGACCCGCCTGCACACCCGCCCCTCGCGCCCGCACACTCGCGGACCCGCCTGCACACCCGCCCCTGCGCCCGCACACTCGCGGACCCGCCTGCACACCCGCCCCTCGCGCCCTCACACTCGCGGACCCGCCTGCACACCCGCCCCTCGCGCCCGCACACTCGCAGACCCGCGTGCACACCCGCCCCTCGCGCCTGCACACTCGCGGACCCGCCTGCACGGACCCCCGAGCTCGCGCGCCGCGTGCCCCATCCGGCCCGCCGGTCCCCGCTGCGCACATCGCACACACGCACCTGGGCGCGCACCCCGCGCCCTGCCCGCGGGCTCTCCCCGGCCCGGCTCCTCGCCCGGGCGCGGCGCCCCCGCCCGTCCCCGCCCGCAGCCCGCGGAGCCCCGCGCCACCTTGTCCCGCGCGGCCCGGCGAGGCGCGGGCGGGGAGCGGCGTCCGCGGTCCCCGCTGCAGGTCTCTCCCAGCCGCGGGACGCCCCCATTTAAAGCCGGCCGCTCCCCAGGCCCCCGCCCTCTAGGCGGGGCCTCGGCGCTCACCCCGGCGGCTGCGCGGGCGCCGGGCTCCACGCCCGGGGAGGAGCGCGGGCGCCGGGGCAAAAGTTTGCGCGCGGCCGGGGCCTCCGGGGCGGCGACGCCGGGGCCGGGCGCGCGTCTCGCGCGGGGCGCGGGGTCCCCGCTGCGCCGGGGCGCGGGGCGGGAGGGGCGGCCCCGGGCCGGGCCGGGCCGGGCCGGGCCGGGCGGGCCGCCGAGAACGCGGGGGGCGGGGAGCGTCGCCGCGGAGCCGCCCGGAGCCCGCGCTGCCCGCCCGGCCCCCGCCCTCGCGGTGGCGCCGCCCGGCCGCCCGGGGCTCCCGCGTCACGCCGAGGGCCGGAGGCAGCGCCGGGGCGCGGGCGGGCGCGGGCGGGGGCGAAATAAATATGCCCGGGAGAGGAAAACAGACGTGCGCCCCCAGGGCCGCGCCCGCCCCCCCCCGCCCCCCCCGCCCCCCGCCCCGCGCCCCATGCCCCGCCGCGCGCTCCCCCCGCCGCCCGCGCGCTGCAGCGAGGCCTCGACTCCATCTAGCGAGGCCATTGTGCATCGGGAGCTGAATAATTCATCCCCGCGGGAAGCGGACGCCCGCCCGGGCCTCGCCGCGCGCTGCCCCCCCAGGGTCCTCGGAGGCTGCGGCGCGCGGGAGGAGAGACTCGCGGGGACCCCTCGGCGCTGGCCGCGGGCGGCCTCGCTCCGTCCTCCGCCCAGTTCTGGGGGGCAGGCCCGGCTGGCTCTGCGGGTGCCTCCCCCGCCGCAGGGCTCGGAGGTCCAGACAGTCCTGACCGCCCTTCGGGGCCCAGCGCCCCATATTCGCTTCTGTAGTGCGGTCACCCCGACCTCCTAGGGTCGCCGCCCGGGGAGGACCTGCCCCCCCCCCCGGGCTTTCCTGGGTCATCTCAAACTCTTCTGGCTGCAGCAAGAACATCAACAAGTCGGCTCCTCGCGTTTTCCCAACACACCGCCCAGGCCTCGGGCTGCGGTCGTGGCTGCAGCTCCTCCCGTGCGCGCCTGGAGCTGCTGGACAGGAGGGAGCCGCCTTCTAGAAGACCCCACCGCCTGCCCCCCGCCCCGGGCAAAGCCGCCTGGTTTTAGATGGAACCCGAGGGCCTCTAGGTGGAGTGGAGAGTCTGGTCTGTGGCACTCACTGAAGAAATATTTACTTGGTTTCCCTCCCCAACACACACACCCCCCACACTCTCTCCAGGTGTAAACTGCTCTGCAAAACCAGCCTTCCGACCAGTTTCCTAGCGACCTCCTTCCTGTGGAGGGTTGACCGTAGGAATCCTGTGGAGTCCCGTGGGAAACAGCAGGATGCTGGGGAGCAAAGGTGAATGAGGCCCTGTCCCTTCCCGCCAAGAACTCGGGGTCTCACAGGAGACAGATAATAAAACCAGCCATCCCCCTGTCCACTGGCATCCAAGGCTCCCAGGTCAGGTGTCCTCCTGGAGTGGAGAGCAGTGTAAGGTTGGGGACTCCTCGCACAAAGAAGTGGAGATATTTGTTTGTTCATTCGTTTACTCATTCAATCTGTAACAGGGTGGTCCCCAGGAAAGGGGGAGGTTCCCTGCCCCACCCAAGGGAGGGTGGAGCTGAGCAGGAAGAGGAGAAGCTGAAGAAGAGACTGAGGGAGGAAGCAGGATGGAGCCAGGAGACCTGGAGGAGGCGCATGGAGCCGAGAGACACGTGAAGAAACTGCGCTTGTCTTTTGGTCGTGGACTGGGTGACACAGATGTGGGTGAGACCCGTGGGGAGGTGACCATGGCAGCTTTTATCTTGATGTTGATTTTGCTCTTTTCCTTCCGGGCTTGTTTGGTTGTTTCTGACTCTTTTCTGTGGGTCCCCACTGGAAGATGCTTTAGACTTGTGGCAGGCTTTGGGGCCTTGTTCTGGGCCGATCCCATATGGATGGACTTTTACCCACGAGGGGACGGGTAACTCTGGATGCTTCATTTAGAAACTAGACTCTTTGCCTTACCTGTATTGTTTCCTAGTTTTATTAAAGTTCCTTCCCATTAAAGTCTCCTATGTTTTGTGTTGATGCGGCGGATGGCAGAACCCATGTAGAATAGGCAGGGTTGCGGGGTTTTGGGCTGCCCCTCTCCCTGTCCTATAACAATTCCTTCCAGATAGGATGTCCGTGAGCACCGACTAAGGGCCAGACTGCATTTGATCCTCAAGGTGTACAACAGAGGGCAGCCAGATCATGCCAAGGCCCTTCAGGGGCCCACCTTAGAGCAGAAGGGATGCGAGGAAAATATTGGGGAGGAGACTTCCTAGCTTGAAGCAGGGGCATCACAAAATTAAAATACTATTAGGTCAAAATAGTCAGCTGAGGTCAAAATAACACTGAGTGTTTTCATGCATTAAGCCCATGTGTTGTTCAGTCCGTGCTTTATGATGCCGGTGTGACAGCCGTCCTGGCCACCGTTACCCGATAGCACATGCCACTTAACGTGCCTTGGATCACCTTCCAGTCCGTTGTCACAGCTCAGCGCGGTGAACATAACTGCCCTGTTGGACAAATTCAAAGAAGTGACTCACCTAGGGTGGCACAGCTTCTCACCTGGGAGTCAGAAGCACCGACCCCCAACTGGAGGTTCAAAGCTTGGAAAGCACCTTGCATGTTGGGAACCTGGCATCATCCGTCTGGTCTCCACTGCTCCTGTCCCTGACCCAGCCTGGCCTCTGTTGCGTGTCCCCTGGCCCCCATGACCTCTTGGCCCTCCTGATAATGAGGAGTCTGACAGTGTCCCTTGGGGTGATGGCCAGGCCCTGTGGGGGGCCCTCATGCCACAGCAGGACCCAGAGGGACTGTGGCTCCTCCCACCCTTTCTGGGTTCAAATGCCAATTGATAGTAGCCAGGATCTGCTTCCCCAGCAGACGATGCCACTCAAAGAGGCAGGAAAGCCAAACTTGGGGTAAAGAGGACTAGTGAAAGAGGAGATGGGGGGTGGGCGGCTTCTGGATCATAGGGGCCCCACTTGGCCTGGCAGCAAATGTTCAGCTGGCATGGTGGAGCGACAGGCCCTGCCTTCCGAAGGTGTGGCCGGCTCAGTAACATGCAACCTGTCTGTGAGTCCCTCCTTTGCTTCACTTTACTTTCCCTTCTATTCTTTGCCCTGGGATTGGGAATCAGAGGCACCTTAGCCACAAGGCTTCGAGCTGGGCCTCTGCAGGCCTCCAAGGGCAGTGGGGAGCTCAGGTCTCTGGGGGGTGGGGAGTTTGGTGCTGAACTTCCCACCAGCCTGGACACAATCATGGCTCCACTATGGATGCAAAACAGGGTCCTGCTCGGCACAAGGTGGGGTTTCCAAAGCTTTGCCTGTGGCCCATGGGACAAAATGCAGGTTGAAAGCAAAGTTTGGGGAGGTCAAGCATGGAGAGATGGGAATCGCCAGGATTGTGGGGTTAGACAGCGTCTCTGGACGCTACAGGAGGTTTTGCAAAAAGAAAACCATCAGCTCAGTGTGATAGGATTTATAATAAATACATGTTTGGTCTTGGTCATGTTTTGGCATAGTGCTCCTAAAGCCTTGGGATTTCCTGTTAGAGCAATAAAGATGTCTTTTGTTATGATAATGAGGTGACTCTGGGAATGCACCGAAGGCTGGGGGCTGGTTGCCAGGGAACCCACCATGTGATTAGAAAGTTGGAACTTTTGGTCCCACCCCTGGCCTTTGGGGAACCAGGATGGGTTGGAGACCTTATCAGTTGTCAATGGCCAAAGACTTACTCGCTGTAATGGACCCTCTGACAAAGCCAAATGGGCTGACAGAGCTTCCGGCTGGAGCTCCCTTGGAGGCCTGGACAGTCAAGGGCCCTGCTGGGGCTGCCATGGAAGCTCCACGCCCTTCCCAACCCTTACCCTGTGCATCTCTTCTGTCTGGCTGTTCCCGAGTCATGTCCTTTTATAACAA